CGGAGAAGCCTGGGGGCTCCGGAGGGGCCGCGCGCCACCCCTGAGCTCGGGGGAAAGGTGCCGGCGCCTCCCACCAGCAGCCCTGGCCAGAAATCCCCGGTGGGCTCGGGGCCCGGGGTCGGCAGCCCGGAGCCAGCCAAGCGCCCACGCGCCCACGCGGCCGAGCGCCCCTTCACCTGCACCGAGTGCGGCAAGAGCTTCCAGCACCGGGGCAACCTCATCACCCACCTGCGGGTGCACACGGGCGAGAAGCCCTTCACCTGCACCGAGTGCGGCAAGAGCTTCAGCCAGAAGGGGGACCTGATGCGGCACCAGCGCATCCACACGGGCGAGAAGCCCTTCGAGTGCACCGTCTGCGGGAAGAGCTTCTGCTCCAAGCAGACCTTCATCCTGCACCAGCGCATCCACACGGGCGAGAAGCCCTTCTCCTGCACCGAGTGCGGCAAGAGCTTCAACCGCAAGGCCAACTTCATCACCCACCAGAAGATCCACCGCGGGGAGCGCCCCTTCGTCTGCCCCGAGTGCGGCAAGGGCTTCTGCGCCAAGAAGACCTTCATCCTGCACCAGAAGATCCACGTCGGCACGGGCGAGAAGCCCTTCGAGTGCACCGTCTGCGGGAAGAGCTTCTGCTCCAAGCAGACCTTCATCCTGCACCAGCGCATCCACACGGGCGAGAAGCCCTTCTCCTGCACCGAGTGCGGCAAGAGCTTCAACCGCAAGGCCAACTTCATCACCCACCAGAAGATCCACCGCGGGGAGCGCCCCTTCGTCTGCCCCGAGTGCGGCAAGACCTTCAACCTCAAGAGCACCCTCATCACCCACCAGCGCATCCACACGGGCGAGCGCCCCTTCGTCTGCCCCGAGTGCGGCAAGACCTTCAACCTCAAGACCACGCTCATGAAGCACAAGCGCATCCACACGGGCGAGCGCCCCTTCACCTGCGGGGAGTGCGGCAAGAGCTTCAAGTACAAGGGCAACCTGCGGACGCACCACCTCACCCACACGGTGGAGCGGGTCTACCCCTGCACCGAGTGCGGCAAGATCTTCAGCCACAAGAAGCAGCTGACGGTGCACCAGGCCGGCCACACCGAGGAGAGACTCCTGTCCTGCTACGGCGACGGGGAGTCCTTCAACCCCTTCCTGCAGATGCACCCGCTGCTGCTCTCCTGCGCCCCCATCCAGGCCCTGGCCAAGTACAAGTGAGGGGGAGCTGGGGAGACGCGCCGCTCGGCCGCCGGCCCCGCGCAGGAGCAGGGAGGGAGCTGCCCGTGGGGACCTGAGCTCGCTGCGCTGCGTAACTACTGACAGAGGGGTCAGTGCTAGCAGGACTTTCCGGCCCCGTGTGCACGGGGGCCGCTGCGGCCAGGCCAGGGGTTTTCTCAGGGTGGGAGCTGCCGGGCCGTGTGCTACATGGGGGTCAGGCTGGGGGGGCGTTGCTGCCGCACTGGCATCATGGCGGGTGCCAGCAGCTCCCCAGTGGGCAGAGAGAGGCTGGCCTGGCGCCTGCATGTCCGCCGGGCACAACTGAACGACGCGCCTGTTCCAGCCAGAGCCAGTCTGGGGAGTGAAACCTCCAGGTGCTGCAGCGCCCGTCCTGTCTCCTCCTAGTGACTGTATGACCCCCCCGAAGCGGGCACACCCCAGGCCGGCCGGACTCCTGACCCGAGGGACACCTAGAGACTTGCAGAGGAGCATGGAGCAGTAGAACTGGAAGGGCCCTCGAAGTCACCGAGTCAGTCCCCTGCCCCCATGGCAGGACTCAGCACTGTCTAGACCGTTGGAAAGCGTCAGTGTGGGGAATCGTTAGAGCTGGACGAGACCTCTTGGTCCTTTCCCCGTCGCCGGCCACCCCCCCGTACAGTCTCTAGGAATGTCACCGGCGATGGGTTCTCCCTCCCCCGGGCGAGGCCTGGGCCCAGTGTACGGGACACTGACGCGGCAGGACGGGACGTGGGTTTAGCTGCTAGTCTGTAGTGAGTAGGAAAAGGGTCATTTTCAAGTTAACGTTTGTCGTTCTCCGTGGGGACTCCTAGAATCCTAGGCGCTAGGTCTGGAAAAGAACTAAATAAATTCTGGTCCTCGCAGCCCCAGCCCGGTGCTCTGTGCCGTGCTGCCGCCTCGCGGCCCCGGCCCG